TATCATTGGAAAAAATTTCACTCCCGATACAGCTGGAAGCAACCGCGTTTCTACCAAGGGAAGGGTTTTCTCCCGCTCCCAGTTGGGAGCTGTTCCCTAAGCACTCTGCCATAGCTCAGACGAAAATCCCCAAGAGCCCTTTCTGCTCACATTCAGTTCCTGTAGCAATCCAGGGAATTGATTACGCTAATGCCTATTCTCCAGGGCTTTTCAAAAATCTTTATGTTTAAAGGAACTCATTTGACTTTTTCTGAGACCCTTATATATGGTTCTCCGTGTGGCCTGTGAGCCATCGGAGGTCTGTGAGAATCCTTCGGGTGGTCTCTTGAATTAACCCTCCGATATGCATGTGTAGTTTTCTGGTTTTGGCTTGAAGTTAAAATTGAAATGTCACTGAATACAATCCAGGTATGACCTCACTGGCCCTTCATCCAGTGCATGGCCATTCATCATCTCAGCAAGTGCTTTGCAAGGGCAAGTGGGGCTAGGTGGGTTTGAGGATGCAGAAGGGCTCTCGCTCTAAGGACTCTAAGGACAGAAACATCATTCTGAGAACATACTCGGACCCAGATGCTACTTACAGGAAACTGATATGACCAACCATAACATTCAAATTGGCCACACGAAGGAAGAGCTCTGAGAAAAAAAGGCACGGGGTGCCCATCAAATCTGAAAAACTGTCAAAGGGTAATGGATTTTCCCCAAAGCTTTCAAGATCTGCATTAGTTTGGCAACCCAGATCACGAGCATCATCTAAGAGCCCCAGAGACCGAGACTGCCAAATGCTTATTGCCAAACGCAAAGAAGAAAATTGAAAGTCTCCTGCTCAACCACGGCAGCGGGTTTCAAAACAGCACAGTGGAAAACAGCGCTCTGGGAACGGGGGCCGAGGCAGAGGCTTGCGGCTTGCCACGGCTTCCTCCCGGAGGCCCAGGCCTGATGGCCGTGAGCCAATTCACGCACCTTGGGTCCCCGCCTAAATCAGAGACATCACCGCAAAGCAAAGATCAGACACGAAGTCCTAGCAGTATGGTTTATTAAGTGAATGGTTCAAGTTCCGAGAACAAGCCCACTTCTTTTCCAACGGTCTAGGTAAAAGTTTTTAAGTCCCATTCCTTAAGTGAGACCTCATTAGGGTTCACTCAGGAACGAAACCAATCTCAGAGACCCTGGTCATCGGTCATTCGATGCAGACAGTGGATATAGGGAAACACGTATTCCCAGGAGATGTGCCGCCTCTGAATTCCTGTTGCCTTTTGTGTAGACGGGGTGTGGGGGGGAGCGGGGGGGGGGGGGACGGCGGCGGAGGCGGCTTTTGGAGGGGCGGGGGGATCTCTGGTGACGAGGCGGGAAGGGAGGCCAACAGCCAGGGGAAAGTTGCATTTGCGTGCGTAAATTGGGGGCATCGCCGAGGGAGCGCGTGGCCGCACCTACGCAGAGTGAGCACAGAGCTGAGCGGCTGAACGAGGACTTGATCTGAAGCCCCCAGTCCTCAGGCTGGCTCCTGGCGTCTCCACCTTTAGCTCAGTGAGTCAGGGCCTCACGATGAGTTGCTTAATTTCCACCTGTTCCTCAGTCTCCTCCCCTGACACTGGGGCACCCATCTCACGGGACCGTCGCGAGAGCTGAGGGTCAGAACGCCTAGGAGGAGTCTGGCCACACTGCCTGACACAGAGGGAGCACTCCACGCGTGCGCGCTGGGGTTATTCTCCCGCGAGCTTCACGGTGTGAAACAAAAGAGAAAAAGAGCCCACTCTCGGATGGGGACGGTGTGCACCTGTGCGTGATGAATTCTAGAGGCTACTTTGAGCCCGAGGAGACCCTGCAAACAGGCCTGGCAGACTGCAGACGGCCAGGGTAATAACGACACCCCTAATGTCTCCCAGGGTGCCTCGTGCAGTAGGTAATCCAAAAATCTCAGGGTTGTGAACGCCTCTCCTACAAACGCAGGATGTATACAGGGAGACAAAAGATAACGAGCTTTCCGGGTTTCCAGAACGGCAGACCAGCACCGAGTGGCAGCCACCATGGGCATTGCCTCCCGGATTTCCGTCTTGGCAGGTCCGATTGTTCACGGACGCTTACTAAAGGTCACTGTCATATCATTGGCCATTTTCACCCTCTGGGAGCTTATAGTCAAAATAATTTCGAACAGAAGACCTATTTGCATCCTTCAAAAAAATGCAGTCCATCAGTCAAGAGCACTTAATAAGCGGCCTCTGTCTGTCACACGTTTCTACCAAGTGTCTCAAGATGTTACGCGGGCGGAGAGAATCTGCTTCCGCGTTCACAACAAAGGAGGATCAGCCAGAGAGGGAGACCATAAGGGGATCGCGGCGTGACAAATATTGTTTTGTAAACACACATAAAACCAGGCACTGAATCCTGTTTTGTCAGAATCCAGTGCGGAAAAATTTCCACCGTTATTTTTTTTATGCTGTAACTGACCTATGGATCAGTTTGAGGGGACCGCAATAACAATTTTATTAAAAATTACTGCAATTTTGGGGCGCCTGGGTGGCGCAGTCGGTTAAGCGTCCGGCTTCAGCCAGGTCACGATCTCGCGGTCCGTGAGTTCGAGCCCCGCGTCGGGCTCCGGGCTGACGGTTCGGAGCCTGGAGCCTGTTTCCTATTCTGTGTCTCCCTCTCTCTCTGCCCCTCCCCCGTTCATGCTCTGTCTCTCTCTGTCCCCAAAATAAATAAACGTTGAAAAAAAAAATTAAAAATTACTGCAATTTTAGGAGAGTAGAGTATTAACAACCAAATGCATTCTGAATGCTCTGGAAGCACAGTGTGTTTTATTTCCTGGCTTCACAGGAGAAGCGTGTTTGTTAATAAAAAAATTAATTGAACTGCGTATCAGCCTAGCATCATGCCCACATAATTGAACTGATGAATTATAATCTATGTTTCTGACATTTCTTGCAAAGAAAGAAAAGTATCATGGGAATAATATCTTTGAAAGAATTGTGAAGAAAATAAATGCATACGAAAGACACGGGGAACATTTCGCAGGCGGGGAAAGAAAGTTTCTCAGTGATCACCGTCAGTCAGGCAAGAAGGGGAGGGATGAATGTAAAACCAGGAGGACAGGAATCAAAACCAACACAAGAAAAATGACCTACATCTTTCTTCCTAGCCTCGGACTCTGATTTCACGGATATGCCACCAGGGAATTAGGGAAAAGAAGGTTTTTGTTTTGTTCCGTTTTCTTGGTGAGTAGCCTAGAGTCTTCAGAATTTTTGTATAACCTTGATAGCAGCACAGGAAAAATCCCCTCAGCAGCTAATGAACACTATGTGTTCTCTTAACGATTCTGATTCACACTGAGTCCAATGTGACTGTGCCGATTCCGGTTTTCTACTAAAGGTAAAAAGATAAAAGGACTTTCAGGCCATTGGCATCACTCTATACCTTTCAGTGGGTTAGACCTGACATATTTACAGCCCGAGACGTTCTTTTTGTTTTCAAATGAGTTATAGAGCTTTCCTTTTCAGTCTTCCCTCCTCCTTTTTCTTGCTTCCTCACTTCTCTCCTTTCTCCTTAAATATACACCCCTAGAAAGCACTGAGCGTATCATCTAGACTTTGGCCATCACCACTGCTGAGGCAAAGCTGAAGTTATACATCAACAAAGCACCCACCATCATGTGGGGGGGGGGGGGTCACAAGTTCCCAGGCCTTGTCACCCTTGACACACTGACAAGGAAGTCCTGCTGGGATGTGTTTAAGGGACAGTCGGCCCCTGCTTGAGCAAGAGCAGAAACCCAGGCCTTCTGTCCAGAGAGCTAAGTTCGGTCCCTTACCCTAATTGGAAGGGCGTCCTGATTTTTTTACGCGGAGACTGTGTGCCTACTTGGGAGATGCAGTGAAAAGAGGTATGCTTTCAAATCCCCTCCGTCTCATGTGGCTCCCCCAAATCGTCTCAACAGAGAGTGCGAGAGAAGTGGGCAGATCTCAGCATAGTAATAGCAAACGACAAATTAACAACTATGTACTTTAATCTTCAGCATTCATAATTCATAATTGCACAGAGTGTCACGGATCACTTAAATAATACATGTCCGTTAATCTAATGAAGAAACCAGTAAAGCAGAACGTTTGGGACGGTCACTTGAGCATGTAAAAACTGTCTGCGAGTGACACTTAACACACAAAGAGCAGAAACAGAACAGGTCTTTGAGGGGTAGTTATTTAAAATCTTTACCAACAGGCAAAGCACCATGGAGAAACACACATGAATATATTCAACCTGCCAGACGCCTCAGCTAAACGCGCAGCGATTCTAATAGGTTTGGCTATAGCGACTTTCCACATATATACAGTAGGTTCTAAAACACTAGGGGGGTTTGGTGATTGGAATGCAGTGTAGAAACAAAGGGGGACTATCGTCACTTTCAGAACAGAATTGAGTGGGGAAATCTAAACTCCCGACCAGTCAACTTTAAAATGGCATAAACAGAACTTTGTTACAGAGAGAGATGGGGTTTTGTTTTTTTTTTTTTTTCCCTTGAAAATGTATATGTGTCATAAATGGCTGAAAATCTTGTCCATGCTAGGGGAAAGTTGAGGGTGGAAAATTGGCATTTTAAAAAAATCTATGCTGTAAAGAAAATAAAAAGCCAGAGCATTCTGGCATTAGCAAAAGGCTGAACTAAGTTCTCAGGCAATAAATTTACGGGGAAACATGACAGGCTCCTCATTAAAGCTATGTGTACGTTGGCTGAATTTTATACAAGATTCTTGAATCTTGTGGAAAATTGGGTACGGCCTGACATCTGAACAATGTCCCTGGTTTGTTTGATTTCTAAAGCATCGGAATATGTTGCACTTTGGAAATCAAGTAGAGAAGAATAAACACACTAAAACAGAACTGGGCTGAATCTTAAAGTTATTTTTCCATATGTCTCTATGAGATATTTATTACCTTTGTTTCTCTTACAAACTACGCACCCCCCCCCCCCCCGGGAAAAATGGGGGGGGGGCTTTTTTTGCTGGTGGTTTTTTTTTTTTTTTTGGTGGCGAGAAAATAGTCCCGTTAAGGCCAATCTTACCCAGCAGCGGTAACCACCTAAGGATAGGCAATTTTCAGTTGGCTTTTCAGAAGCTGGTTGCCATGACAAAGAGGACAATTTATTCCTTGGTCCCTTATCACAGCTACAGATCACAGACCATAAAAATTAACAAGGTTCTTTCCCTTTTCCTGATGATTTCGGAGTTCCTCATCCTTACCTGAGGTCTTTTGTTCCCCCAATTAAATGGAATGAATGTCAGTCATCTAGCAATTCAATTAATGCTGATTCAAAATTCTGGCCCAAACCAGAATCTATAATCACAACCTCCTAATCACAGCTCAGTCGTGAGAATGAAAAGTAAGCAGGAAATTGCACTAATTACTCAATTAGACTAATACTGTATTTTTAAGCCAGGGCTTAAAGGGGCTGTCGGCTCTGACAAAGGACCTCGGAGTCGTCCTCACCATGTGTGCCTGCAGTGGCCTGATTGAGGCTGATGTTTTCAAGTGGCCATAATTTCTATCCATCTAAGACGGATGGACCTGAGCTGGGGAATGGAAATTTACAACCGATAAACCAACCATGAATGAGGGGCAGGTCGGGGAGGGCAGGGGGGCTTCACCGGCTCTTAACACAGGCCCGTATAACGGACAGGGCTCTTCTGGAGGAAGCCGGTGGCCCATGTGAAGGTGGCTGAGCACATGTCAGCACAGTGCTGGTTCCAGGAAAACATCTGGTGGGGAGCAGCACTCAGGAAGTGTGAGAGTGGCTCTAGCAAACCTCAAGGTGCCAGCCTCCAAACTCACCACGGAGCCTGCGGCGTGTGCCGGGCAGAGAGCTCCTCAGCTAGTGGGCCCGCCCCTGGGGGTGGCTGAAAGCTGAGAATCATCCACCCCCAGGGACAGCTTCTGGGGCTGCAAAGCCCACCTGGACAAGCTCCACGAAGCCAAGAACAGCGAGTGAAAAAGAACTGGCTGGGAAGAACGTACCAGATGTGCCCGAAGAACTTACAAAACAATGCAGGATATGAACCAATATAAGCTGGACCTAAGTAGAAAGAAAGAAAAAAAAAAAAAGCCCCCAAAATTAGACTCTTTTTTCTTACTCAGGTTCAGAAACTTAAATATTCTGTAAACAATAGGGAAGACACTAGAGCCTGCCATGCCTCTGGTTTTTGTAACACTCCCCCCGAGTTGGATGCAGGAAGGGAGGCGGACACAGAGGAAGGAGGGCCCACTGCACGTGGCGTCGTCTTTCCTCTGCAGCAGTTGCTGAAAATGACCAACTTGGGAACTGCTCAGGGGTTCCGAAAGGAGACAAAGTATTTATTTGACTAAGACAGGCAAAGTCTTTACTTCCAGGGTTTGCCTTGCAGGTGGCCACTGCTGAGCGAGCGGGGATTCGGGGGGCCACCAGGGCCCCTGGCGGGCGGGTTCTGACCGCTGCGGGTGCCTGGAACCTTGGAGTCTCTTCCGGGGGCATTAGCTTGGCTCAGCCGGCCTGCAGGAGGCAAGAAAGCAGGGAGCAGAGCTGCAAGAATGACTCCAGGGACGATCTGCCAAGTATACTTTTAAGCTAATGAAGTCGTACGGTATAACCACTTGCAAGCTAATGAAGCCCTATTCAGCATCTACTCTAGGCTAAACCCTACTCTTCATCCTTGGAGGTAGGGAAGGGGCAGGGACGAAAGGAAGCCCAGCGAGCTTCCCCCCCCCCCCCCCGCCTTCCTCTCCGTTATCCCAACCAACTTAGTCTGGCCTTCATTTCTTCTTGGTAGAGATGGGCACAGGAGTGATTAGGGGAAAGACAAGAGAAAGTAGCGTGCTCAAGGGAAGGTTGGACGTGCTTTCAAGGTGCCCAGAAGCTGCACAGGGAAACAAAACCTGTGGGAGAGGAAATCTAAGTGCCTCAGCTTAGCCTCTCAACTCAGCCTGAAATACATACGTTATCTGAATGAGAAGTCCTTTCTCTCTACTGGCAATGCCTAATTCTCCCCACAACCTGGGATCACCTCCCCTTGCCCCCGCCCCTCCCCGCACGGCACCCGCACACTCCCCATGCCCTGCAGATAACGGAAGAATCTGAATATAAGAGATCAAGCTTTTCATATGACGATATTCCAAGCCGCAAACCTCAAAACGTTCTACCCAAAACGTTCTCTACCCAAAACGTTATCTCTACAGGTCAAAATATCTTACTGGGATGGTCCGTAGGACCCTGCTCCTCTTCCAGGTGATATTCGATCTTTTTCAAGTCTTCTGGGGTAAATCTCCATTTATTCTCAGCTGGTGGAGGCGGCACCTTGGGGCTGGATCGTTTCCGGGCAGAGCCAGAAGGAAGGGGCTGCTGGCAAGATGCTGGCAGGGAACCCGTAATCAGTCCTTCTGGGAATTTCTGAGCTAAGACTTTTAGACCTAGGTGTGGAAGAGCATCAGAAAAAGCGGCATTAACACGGTGAGGCTACGGTGAAACCTGGAAAGCTGGAAAGAAGCCTGCGTGTCTCCTGGTCTTTGGTCTGCTGGCCCAAGCCAACACAAGGACGTGAAATCTTAACTGCTTCGCCATTAAGTAAATTACACGAGAAACATGGTGGTTAGGTGGGATTCTGTGAATTCCACCAGAAATCCTTCTGCTCCAGTCTTCAGCCTTAAGGCTTGCTTACAGAGCCCTAAGGCAACAGCATTATTTCTGGAATTAAAAACATGTGCCGATGGAGCTAACGGAAGTTTCACATAACTCCTGACCCCTTGCAGCCAGCACGGTTGTCTCTCTTTCCAGAATTCTTAATTCTGCGCGTGGAGAGGAAAAGGGTGACGGGGGAGGGGTTGAAGGACTCTGAGTCCAACTGTCTTCTCAGTCCTAAGCAGAATACAGCCCACTCACCTCCGGAAAGCATGAAGAGGTTCTCAAATCCCCGCTCACACATGGTGGTGGCCGCCTGGCTGGCCAGCCTCTCGTCATCGTCGTACAGAATGATGATCTTGCCGTGAGCATTTTTCTAAGAGTCACATGAGTTAAGGTCCCCCCCACACTGAGCTCAGGCTCCTAGACTCTAAAGAAACCCCCAGGGAACAAAGAACCGTCAAGGCTCCCCTTTCTGAGTTCAGAGAACGTCGGACAACCCCATCACCCCAGCAGTTACTGGATTTTTTCCTCTCGTGGAAACCACACAGGCTGGTAGTCTTAACTCTTAGGAACTAGTATTACCACGGTCCAAGACAAAACTAGCTCCCTGCTTGATGCCTTTTGATTCTTGTAGCTTCACAACCTTGAAAAGTTAAGTATTAACAACCTCCATTCCACAGGTGAGGAAATAGAAAAAAACCTGGGTGCCCCACGTGTCTACCATGGCCTTATTTATAATAGTAAAAAAAAAAAAAAAAAAAAAGGGAACCACCCGAAAGCCCACTAGAGAGGAACAGTTTAGTAAATCATAGTAGAGTATATAAGATGAGATAATGTAGTGCAACCAAAACGGAGTTTATAAAGAGCATGGGGAAATACACTGTACTACGGCACGAGGAAGAGTCAAAATTCTAAATTATATATACAGTATGATTTCTACTCTGGTTTTCAAAAGAATACATAGAGGACAATCTGAAATAAAGTATGCAAAAAAACATAATCGGAGTTGTTCAGTGGTGATTATCAGTCTTCCTTTTTAGATCTTCCCGAATTGAAATTATTTTCTATTTGTGTAATTTTTGTAGGCAAAAAAAAAAAAAAAAAAAGTAAAATTTGAAGAAGGGAAAAATTTAAAACAGAGGGAAAAAAATTTCCTTAAGTTTTACTTGGGAAAGCTTTCTGGGGGAAAAAAAAAAAGTCTTAGGACTAACTCTCAATAGATCACAGCCTTTAACCTAATGTGTTGTGGCCCACTGCAGGATGGCTTAGAAACATCTGCCAGGATGGTGAGGATACTCAGCAAGAGCTAAGAACCCAAATTCTAAAATATGCTAAGTAAGCTAATTAATATCAAAGGTCCTTCACAGAGGTTTTTTTCCCTAGGAGCATGATTCATGGCAAGTTCAACTCGTACAGTCCTCAAACCACCCAACTCCATAAAATGCAACAAAGGATACGTATTCAAGAATGTCATTTGAATAAGGGTTCATTGTCCTAGACAGAGTTGCGATGGGGTAACTGTAAGCTGCAGAGAGAAGAAAAAGCTTAGGACGTTTGTTGCTTTCTGTACAATTTTGCCCCAAATTCCTGCCTGGTTTAAACTCTAAGAGTTCAGGGGCGCCTGGGTGGCTCAGTTAGTTAAGCGTCTGACTTCGGCTCAGGTCGTGATCTCGCGGTTCGTGGGTTCGAACCCCGCGTCGGGCTCTGTGCTGCCAGCTCAGAGCCTGGAGCCTGCTTCGGATTCTGTGTCTCCCCCGTCTCTCTGCCCCTCCCCTGCTCACGCTCTGTCTCTGTCTCGTTCTCAAAAATAAAGAAACATTAAAAAAAATTTTTTTTCAAGTCTAAGAGTTCAAAGAAATACAGTTTCAAAATCAATAAGCCATAAACGTGGATACGTTTTCAAGAGAAAAGACACAGGACACTATGAACAAAACATGAAGCTTCGTGTCACCGTTTCTGACATTTAGCACCAGGCCCCAGGGCCATCTGAGAATGTCCCAAGCCTCTCTCAGAGCATTACGGTAGAGCCAACGTACAGGTTCCCATGGTGGATTTGGTTAACACGTCACTTCCAGAATTGCTGACCCTGGGATGTGGTTCAAGCTGGCCTGGACTAAAGAATGGGCTCTGTTCTTGGGACTGAGATGCTAGAACGTCCCCTCTCACCTCCAACGATGTGGCACTGTTGGTAGGAATCTCTGTCTCGCACATCTAGCAGCAGGAAGGGGCAGTCGGGATAAGGTCGGTCTTTGGTGTTGGGCTCGGCTTTCTTCACTAGCCCTTTGTCTAGATCCAGTTCCCCAACACCACTGATGACGCTGCAAGTGAAAAGCAGGTCGTCAGAAACCACTCAGGGGTGAGTGGCTCCAAGGTCAAATGCGTTTCTTCAGAATAGCGAGAGTGCTCAATGTCTTTCAAAGGGCGCGGCGAAGCAAAAGGAAAATGGATATGGGGTCTCAGTTCTGTCTCTGAATGCACGACCCTATGGATTCCTATTCTATCACACTGGACCCCGAGGAAGGGACCCATGTGTCCGTATCACCTTCAGAGAATGCATGTTAGGTCATTAGCATGGCTGAGGGGACAGAGACTGTAGGGCACATGCTGCCTCCAGCAACAAGAGCAGCATTCAGAGAAAAGAAAGAGGCCAACAGTTGATCTGATGGAATGTGAGGAGTGTAAGAAAGCAGAGCGAAAGGGAAAGAATAAGGTTGATAGGACAGGAAACACGGAGGCCTTCTATGTCCATCATACGTAATACAAACCAACAGCAACGTTTTAATGTATTCCATCTACTTATAGGGTGACCTAGCCGATGCGTATTTTGAACCTTAATATCGTCAATAGTTATCTGTACTTATTCCCAGGTTATAGGTCACAGCGTTGAGGTTGAAGAGGCTTCCAGATTTGGTGGCATTCGTATAATGAGACAGAGGAAAAACGAGGATCGAAGTGAGTGAGTTCACCATTGACAGTTCTGTTTCTAAGGTCGTAAGATTGGTCGCCGTATTCAGATTGGAGGCGAAATGTAGTAAAAACACGGATCAAAGGAATAAGAGGAGTAGGCGTTATGAATAAGACGGCAGGTAGTGAAATATCTGTATTGGATGAAAAGAGGACTCCTTTCCCAGGCAACTGTGAAGGCTTGTGTGCCGGACCACACGCCAGCACGCACTGATGTCTCCTCTCCCGGCACGGCAAATCAAATTCTGCGTCTAAACCTCGATGTCACTCGATGCCACAGAGCGCATATTTCGTTGAACCAAAGGAGAAGAAAATCTGTCTCATATGAAACCGCGTCCTCAACGGAAGTCCCGTTGGTCCATCTCGTAAATGCAATTTTCAAGTTCTTGCGTAAAAGTAGTCACAGAAAAATAACAGCGGTACCGATGATAGCAATTCTTTCTCTGGTAGACCTGGTTTCTCGACTACAGTTGTTTTCGCCATTGTAGAAGGGATGGTTATGCGCGGAAAATCAGCACCGTCTTATAATCAATGCCTAGTGTTTGTGAGAAAAGGGTTGCATCACAGCAAGAAGGACCCATCACATGCGGTTTGCAAATCGACACCGAGGGCTGCTTCCCTGCTCCTTTGCACCTGTGTAATAGCAGAGTATGGTGTAGGGCACTCTATTTTTCTTCTGATCTCAGACAGGGTAATTATAAGCTGCAGCAGACAGAAAAGGGGGTGGGAGTGGGAATCAAAAGATAGGAGATGTAAAGCTGAGTCCTAATAGCAAACCTGCACACGGGAAGGCTGAGAAGAATGGAATTAAGGAGCGAAAATTAATGCTCTCCTATCAATATATTCTTACCTAAACGCATCGAGATGCTGTGAAAAGATTCAAGCGATGGCATTTATATCAAGAGAAAATAGAGGGGCTGGGATGAAAATGTGGGACTTGACTACTGCCAGTCTGCTTCTAAGGCGATTATATCACTGAAACTGGTACCCAGGTTAGTATGAAGTAAAATACAGTGAAAACATGAATCTGATTAGCATACCTCTGCAGAGTCGAGCGACTGGAATCCCCGGCTCCCGCGCTGTTTGTGGACTGGACAGGGCTTGGCGACTGCTCCCCGGGGCTCCCCTTCCCATTGGTCCTGGCACTGACTTCCCCATCGGGCTCCGAAGTCGCAGAATCATTGTCTAAAATTTGCAAATGAACAGGTATATTGGACCTCAGAGTTGATTTCACTTGTCGGGCAGTCCCACTGAAATGAGGTCAAGGCAAGGAAATCCTATCACGGTGATTAAATTGTCCCCTAAGTTCTAACACGTAAGTTCTCAAAACGTAGTCGCGGATCCCAGGAGTCCCCAAGACCCTGTCAGGGGGACCTGCGAGGTCTCTTTTACCGGGTTGATATTTGCCCTCAGGGTGCCAAAGAAACAGTGGCTAAAACTGTGAGCGCCTTAGTAACACTCAGGGCAGAGGCACCAAGTTTGATTAGGAATTATCGTATTTTTTTCACCAACACGAACGCACTCAGTTAATAAATACAGCGGTCACATTTTAGCCAGTCCCTGATGGAGCTGCGATAATAATTCTATTAAGTCTCATCTTTTTTTTTTTTTTAAACGTTTATTTACTTTTGAGACAGAGAGAGACAGAGGATGAACGGGAGAGGGTCAGAGAGAGAGAGGGAGACAGAGAATCTGAAACAGGCTCCGGGCTCTGAGCTGTCAGTACAGAGCCCGACGCGGGGCTCGAACTCACGAGCCATGAGATCGTGACCTGAGCCGAAGTCGGACGCTTAACCGACTGAGCCACCCAGGCGCCCCTATTAAGTCTCATCTTTAAGTATACGCCTTTTTAACATTCTGTGTAATGACATCGGGGGCCCACATACGGTAAGTCTGCTCCATACCAAGATAACCAAGATACCACTGGGGCCTCGAGGGAAAGTGTTAGTGTGATTATTGCTGCTTTTGCCCTGCACACCATTTTTACCCGGAAGAAAAACTGACAGGAAAATTATAGTTACTTAGACTCGTGCACGTGGCAGACATTCTCTCAAAAATGATCTAAGTGAACTTGTCGTTTCAAGGAAAAAAACAACTGATGGGCTCTGTTGTAGCGACTAAATCCTACCCCAAAATCAGAGTTTTGGAAACTAGCTGCCCTCAGGAGCTTGGGTCCCTCCTCGTACTTAATGACTTTTCTGATACAACAGGCGATGACGTTAATAAGTGTGATTTTTTAAAAATTTCTTTAACGTTTATTTATTTTTGAGACAGAGAGAGACAGAGCACGAACGGGGGAGGGTCAGAGAGAGAGGGAGACACAGAATCGGAAGCAGGCTCCAGGCTCTGAGCCGTCAGCCCAGAGCCCGACGCGGGGCTCGAACTCACGGACCGCGAGATCGTGACCTGGCTGAAGTCGGACGCTTAACCGACTGCGCCACCCAGGCGCCCCAATAAGTGTGACTTTTTAGATGTTGTGTAACGAACAAAATTTGTCAGTATTTGGAAGATCCTCCTAACTCGGCGAATCAATATTTTCCACGTGGCCAAAGAGTGAGGTTATAAAATTATGCGTGGGTAAAAAGCTTCATTCAATGAGCTTAAGGTAATGGAATCCAAACCATGCACTGATCCGGTTTCAGATTCCACATTACAACTAACCTTTAAGAAGCTACCGGTTGTCAAGTTTCAGTACAGCCTCAAAGATGTGTATCCATAATTATCTGAAAGAGCTATTAAAAGATTCTCTCTTTTCAACTACAGGTCTGTGTGAGGCCAGATTTCCTTCGTATACGTCAATCCAAAGAGCATATTGCCACAGAGTGAACGCAGAAGATCTGAGAATCGGCTGTCCACTCTGAAGTCAGATGCGGAGGTTTGCAAGAAGATGGGAAACAAGGCCATGCTCAATAAACTTTTTGTTTGTTTGTTTTGGCAACACAGCTATTTTGCATTAAAATGCCAGTTATGCGTGTCATGGGCTTAGTATCACTATTTGTAAGTGAAATAGTGAATACATATTTTTAAGCTCTCAGTTAAAATTTTTTAATGCCTTAAATATCGAGAGACGGGTGCCTGGGTGGCTCAGTCAGTTGAGCGTCCGACTTCGGCTCAGGTCACGATCTCACGGTCCGTGAGTTCGAGCCCTGCGTCGGGCTCTGTGCTGACAGCTCAGAGCCTGGAGCCTGCTTCGGATTCTGTGTCTCCCTCTCTCTCTGACCCTCCCCCGTTCATGCTCTGTGTCTCTCTGTCTCAAAAATAAATAAACATTAAAAAAATAAAAATATCGAGAGATATAATCACCCACACCAAAACTATTTGAGGTCCTCGATAATTCGGAAGCATGCGGAGGGAGACTGTACCAAAACGTTCGAGAATTTGCTGTTTCCACTGGTATGATGAGCAAAGAAAGAAAGATAAGAGGCCTCGTCATTAAAGAGGACACTAAAATTTATTTTTCATATGATATAATCTACCTAGAAATTTCAGGAGAATCCTCTGAGAATAAGGAAAATAAGCATGCACGTAGATAAAGAAAAGAAATACTAACAGGCAAACAGTTTTTCCCACATGCCAATTAGAAAGGAACATGAAGAGCGTCTCATTCCCAGTAACAACAGCAGATATAAGATATGTTCTCCTAGAAAACAGGACTATTAAGAAATGCAAAGGGCCCGTACAAACTTACATCCTTTATAGGTCTTAGACAAATTTTACTTGAGAGACATTACAGAAAACCTGAATGAAGAGAGTGATGTATCTTCACATTCCTGACTGGGTGACAAAAGTGAAACGATGTTAATCCTTTCCAAATTTCATTTTTAGTCCTAAAACAATCCCAGTGGGGTTTTTGAAAAGCTTAAAGGGATTGTACAAATGAGAAGGAAGAAAAAAAAAAATATATATACACACACACACACACACACACACACACACACACATATGTACATACGGGTAATTTGGAGAACATGCCTTACCGAATAGTAACATATGTGGCAAAGATAAATGATCAAAACAACGCTGAACCACAAACCAGAATGACGGGGATATAAGAGAGAACACAGAAACAAATCCCAGGATATACATAAAAGCTAACATATATTAAAGGTAACATCGCAAACGAGTGGGTAAAGGGAGAACACTTGCATAAATGGTGGTGGGATAACGTGTCACCTCTCTAGAAAAATCAAATTTAGATAACCCCCTCACATCATATGCCACAATATGTAACAAGTGGATTGATGTAGGGAGAAAACCCAAACCACCAAGCAAGGTAATAGAAGAAAATATAGGTGAATGATTTATCTTAGCTTGGATTTTACGAGTCTAAGGCAATAAAAGAAAGCACAACGCGGAAGGGTAATAGATTTAATCACATAAAGATGCAAACCTTGTGGATGTCAAAAATGAACACCAAGAAAATTAAAAGGTGAGTAACAAATCAGGAAAAACATCTATGACATATATGCATTAGAAAAGCTTAATATAGTGAATTTACAGAATTAAAAAAAAATTAACTAGTGCTTTAATTGGAAAAAGATCATGTGCACCAGGTAAAAATGCAAACAAGATAAATTTGTTAATATGGAAAGGAAGTCCCTTCCCACTCCTGACCTCTAGGCCCTCAGGCCCCCTCTTCCAAGGGAAACACCTGCACGTATTTATGCCTCCCTCCAGAAATAAAACAACTACGTACTTTTGCACATATTTTATTTCCTCCCCTTTTTACATATCAGGAGAACACTATCCATACTGCTCTACACTTAGGTTCTTGGTTTGGTCGTTGTTTTATTTTTACTTAACGATGGAGATTTGGATTTGCAAACTTCACATTGTCAAGTGAAGCCTTTTCTCATTTTCTAGGCTGTACTTGTTTCCAATGTTTAACGAGACCCTAATGCAGGGAGCTTTTCCAAATCGGTAAAAGATGAGCGTTCCGTGAGAAAAAACGAATGGGGAAGGACAGGTAATGTTCTCAGAAGAAGAAATGTGTGTGGCCAATAATCGCACACATACACAAGGCTCGGTTTCATGCCCGGAGAGATTCAAAAGAAAATGATCAGATACTACTTTTGACCCATCAAGTTGGCAAGCACGTGCAAAAATGATAATTCTTCGGCACTGCCTGGGATGGGGAGGAACAGGTCTTCTCATTTATTTGCTGGGAATGCAAACGGGGAGAACCATTCGGGTTCATTCGGGAATGCAAACGGGGAGACAGTGCGGAATCAGCGCCTGAGCATCTGAAAATGGTTCCGCCCTTTGACCATCTGCAGCAAAATTTATCTTCAGGAAATAATCAGAACCACACTCATGTTTACGTATTTACACAGCAGCATTATTTTAGAAAAGTGAAAAATCAGAAAAGCTGTCACGTCCGGTAGGAGAATAGTTAAATCAGTTATGGTATGTCCAAAGGACAGACATTATATGACGACACAACCTTTACGATCAAGCTTTTGAAGTCTATTCAATGACACAGGACAGCAGGCATGATGAAATGCTAATCTGGAACAGCATAATTCAAAAGTATGCACAAAGAATATGGATTCGGGTGCGCAGTTAGGGGGAAAAGTAGAGCAAAATGTTAACAGGGATTATTATTTTAATTTTCTTCCTTACATGTTTTTTGCAATTTTCTAATTTTCTAGAAATATACTTTGAAGTCAGGAAAAAACCATAAACATCACAAAAGGAGGTTTTTTCCTCCTTCAAAAATAGCCAATATGCATACAATCTGTTCTGCAGGCATTCCTGAGTGAGTTATTATTCTGTGTAGAGCACTAGAAAAACACTAATATTACTCACACATTATGGTGTCCTACTTTACAAGAGCCTATTTTGCTGTGCAAATTTATCTCAGAAGAGAAAATTGCATGTGCCCATATGTTCTGGTGCTGTAATCTCCATGAATTCAAGGACCAAATCCAGGTACTTATATAACCAGGTTAAAATTGGGAGTACTTGTATGAGGAGACTCAATTATCTCTGTTACAAAGAACCCTTATTTCTCTGCCGTGTGAGAGGCATCTGTCAAAGATAAATTCCTGTCTTTGTCAGATGCTCTTTATCCTCCCTAACAAAAACAAGCCCAGGGAAATGACAGTTAAGTTGCACAAAGCCAGTGTTCGAACTTCCTGAGAAACTGGTCTTGAAATCCGAAGTCAAATTCCTGGCCTGCATCAACCTTAACAAAACATATTCCCCTTCAATAAACAGCCACACGTTGATGGTTGAGGGCCTGAGGATAGAATAAAGACCTTAACTCTGCGTATTCTTTTCACGACAGTGCCACTGAGAGGTTTTATTTTCGACTTGGCATTTAAGAAAGGAAACCTGCAGCTGGAAAGGTATCTTCCCAGCCCGGTCTCCAACCTAGCACCTACGCCTTCCCAGGTCATCGCCAGGCTAGATGACGCGATTCTCCAAACCCGCTCTCCGTGCCTTTGCTCAGGTTGCAAGACTCTCGCCCGTCACTTGCACCTGTTCAGATCCTACCCTCTGTTATGGTCCAGCTCACAGGCTTTAAGAAAGCCTCCCTGAGGGGCGCCTGGGTGGCGCAGTCGGTTAAGCGTCCGACTTCAGCCAGGTCACGATCTCGCGGTCCGTGAGTTCGAGCCCCGCGTCGGGCTCTGGGCTGACGGCTCGGAGCCTGGAGCCTGTTTCTGATTCTGTGTCTCCCTCTCTCTCTGCCCCTCCCCCGTTCATGCTCTGTCTCTCTCTGTCCCAAAAATAAATAAAAAACATTGAAAAAAAAATTAAAAAAAAAAAAAAGAAAGCCTCCCTGGGTTTTCTAACTGGAAAGTACCCTTCCTTCTTCAGAACTCCCAGAGCGAAGACCCTGGTTATGAGCGGAGACTCGCAGATTTGTATCCTACGCCCCTCCCTTACTGGCTGTACCCCCTTGAGCAAGTCGTTTAACCTCTGAGGCTTGGGCTTCTCATCTCTAAGCATTTGTTTCTTCCAGAGTCTCTGGTAAGGTGAAGTAAGAAAGCTGCGTGAAGCGCTTAGCAATGTATATTTAACGAATGATGACTTCCTTCTAATCCTTCATTATGAATTTCTGCCACATTAGCAATTTTGCGCTTCTGTTCTCATTTTCCTCGCCCAACACGCACACATGCGCGCACGTGTGCACACGCGACTACCCACTCCATGTGAGCAGGGTTGTGTCGTCTCTGTAGTCTCCTAGCACCTAATTCTGTGACCTGTACGTAGGTAGAAGGCACTAAAAATATCCGTTGGGAAAAAGTAATTGGTATATTAAACACACACAGAGCGTTTCAAACCACGAAAACACACCAACCAACCCACCGCACAAAAAAACATTAACAACTACAAATGTTAGAGCTGGAAAACCAGATGGCTTTTTAAAAGACAGAAGAATGAACAATTAAAGCACCAGAGAGCATGTCTCGGACGGTAACAATCTAATTACAAATAGATATATCGAAGTCCCAATTCCCTGTGGACACAAGAGCAAAGGTGGACAGGGCGAGAACTTGGGTCACATGGTCAATCGGTTATTTCCCCCACGTCCTCAATTCTCATTACCTTCTAGCCTTTGAATCTCTTCAGCTGTCACTTCCAGTGTTTGATCAGATAGGGAAGCAACCTGGATGACCTGATAGGAAAAAAGAATGAAATATGTAGATGTGTTTATGTTTGTTAGTCTTTAAACAGAGGCAATTCTGTCTCTAACAAAAGGCGAGGAAACATCAAAGATCTCTTGTTTCAAGAAACTGTCAGGGTCCTCCACTGGAGACTAAATCTCAGGCCTCCTTACTTTTGAGGAGTGGGAATTACACCGCAGGTGATCATTCCAGAAACACAGATTCGTTTAAAACATCACACAATAAACTTAAAAGTCCAAAAGGATAATTTAGGACAAGAAACATGCGTAAATGGTCACGCACATTCCAGTCCCAACATAACACACAATACTTAACCGTGACAGAATTGAATCAGCAATTCGACATTCAATGAAGAAATCAATGTCTTATGAATATATATATATATATATATATATATATATTTTAATGTTTATTTACTTTTGAGAAAGAGAAAGAGAGAGCGGGGGTGAGGAGGGAGGGACAGAGAAGGAGAGGGAGACACAGAATCTGAAGCAGGCTCCAGGCTCCACGCTGTCAGCACAGGGTCCCCATGCGGGGCTCGAACTCACAAACTGCAAGATCGTGACCTGAGCCGAAGTCAGACGCCCAACTGACTGAGCCACCTGGGTGCCCCTGAATGTATTTAGCACAACACGGTATACCCCCCCCGCCCCCACATGGTTTTTAAAGCACTTTGCACAGCTCGGCTCATAAGACCCATGATCCACCACGTCAATGAAACTCTAGAGACCAGAATTCTAGATTCGAAACATGAAATTAAAGCGTGCAAGGAAAAATACAACCTAAACCATAAATGCGACGATTTAAAAGTAGAATGCACATTTTACTTTATCAAATTCTTATCAAAGAAGATAGCTCACACCATCCTTGAATGAGCACACACAGCACACCTCTTAATCCTCCCATGGGTGAAATGTACAGACAGAAGAAACCCTTCTGCAAATATTACCTAGAGTGGAATTTAGAAGTACTCACATAAACCGGCACTCATTAGAGTCTTTACCCCAATGGGAAGATCGCTGAACTTACCAGCTGGGCAAAAGTTGTAACTTTCAGTCTCTTGAAAAGCTCATCTTTTTTGTATCTGTAATCTGAAAAGCAGGATAGGACAAATAATTTTGCAGGTATACTTTTCTTTCTTAGAGGTACTCGTCCTGTCTAGTCGTCGAGTTACGTGGCATGATCTTCAAGTTATTTATATGCTTTTACATATGTTATCTAATATTTGATCCTCATGACATCCTCGGAATTAAGTGTGGCAGGTATGATCATCATCTCTTCATTTTTTTTCCCCTTTGCTTCAGCTGGTAGGAGGCCTAGAGTTGAGTTTATAAGCCACCCTTTTGCGTCTAGTGACTTTACCCCTCGTGTCATTTCATCCATTTGCCATTTTCCTTTCACTCGGCTCTCTCTCTTTGGACCGTGCTGTCTTGCATGCATGTTGTAAGCCACTTTCAATCCTTTGCAGAACAGAGCAAGGAATAAACGTCTGCAACTTACAGATGAGGACAGAGACCCAGAGAAGCTGAGTTGCCCCAGGTCAAACAGTTGGTGAGACATTTACACCCTACTATTCCAACGCCGCCTCAAAGAGAGAACAATTCTGTTCCTGAGGTTACAAATTACACTGGAGACACGGGGACAACCTTTTTTTCTCCCCGGGGTACAATGCTGGGCACAGAGTTCTTATGCCTGGTCCTGATAATCTTCTCTATCAGTTTCTCTGCATTTCCACCTTCAGTAAAAATCCACACGCTCAGTTGTACGAGATGAAAAAGTTCCCGAGATCTATCATGCAGCTGTGTGAACGTACTTAACACTACTGAGCCGAACACTTAAAAACGGTGAAGACGGTAAATTGTGTGTGTGTGTGTGTGTGTGTGTGTGTGTGTTTTACCTCAGTTAATTAAAAAAAAAATCATGCTAAAACATCCATATTTATTCTGCGCTATCTTTCTGGTTCTGACTCATAACTCAAAAGGGGGTACTTCTGCACTTGTTAACATTTCTTCATATCACATTTGAATGGTCATTTTAAAATTTTAGCCAATCTCACTTGAGCTAATACCTGTCCCGTGGAGGCATGCTAAAAGTTAGCTTCCATGCAATTTTCTGAAGATGACTGCCGATTCTAAAGAATTTTTGGCATTGAACTTCCCCCCCACCCCCTACACTCCACTACTCTTCTCCATTTTCATATGGGTGGTCACGACTCCTCAAGTATTGCCACATTATTTCAGAATCATTAAAGGTTAGATGGATAATTACTATGGCCTTCACAGCAAAAAAAAAAGTCTCCTAAACCAAGACTCCTAGCAACAAAGGAAAGGATTAGAAGTATTTAAAACGATTCACCTGGTGTCACTAATCATTTCCGTGAATCTTCTAAAAACGAACACACAATGAACACTTTGGAGGATGATGTTAGCTTGGTTTACCAAACACTTTACGAACCATGGTCAGGAAATAACAGTACGTTAAAAACTAGCCTTCTGTAAATATATCAAGACTGACTGTTAGAACGAATTAAAGCTTCTCTGTTCTGAGACGCCTCAAAGAGAGCGATGTGGCTCACAACGAACCACTACTTCTAGAAAATTCTCAGGGTAGCTTCCTCTGGACACAACAAGGTAACAAACCTAGACGCAAAGGACCTTCCAAGACTCACCAGGATGCAGCCCCAGCAGGTTGGGCAGAAACTTGCAAAAAAATCCAACTGAATAGTTACAGCATTCCTCTCAGTCACCACCGATTTGCCCACCAAAAGCCACTCACGTAAGTCAGAATGGTGATAAGTCAGCCAAGAAAGAGAGGCGACAGCTCTCGAGGGGTTTGCACTGCGGCATTCGTCCACTGATCTTCTTTTGGTACAGTTACAAAGTTTGAAATACTTCCCCAATTCTTCACATACGCAGTACAAAAGGTACACGTGCAAGTCCCCTTTGACTACGTACAGACGATCTCAAACCCAAACCAGGCTCTACCACATTCTACCCATTGGCATTTCTAGTACCCTCTAGGCACGAGACGCCCCACTGTGCATTTGAGCCTGTACTCTACATACCTGGTTCTTGTTTAGAAGGACAGCCATCACTGGGACTTTCTGACATTATTACTCGGAGATAAAAGATCAAACTAGACGTCTGACAGTAAGTTTTAAATGTTATGGAAAAGGACGACTGGGAACACTGTTCGCCCGTCCTTGCAAGGGCGAACAGAGCTTTAAGAATGGAGCCTCTGCTCCCATCGTCGCTCCCCAACTCGGGGATGGAGACAAAAAATCCGAGTTGCAGATCCGTTATCAAGGTCTTCTTCTCCAGTAAGTCTGGAGTCTAAGTCTGACTCTCTCGAGTTACTGGAAGGACAGAGACCTGACTATCTAGGATGCTTCACGCTGGTGTCATCTAACCACCAGAAGCCAAGAATAGGCTTTGTGCGCGGTCAATAGGCACAGGGTGTCTGTTTTCTCGAGAGAGAGTTGAAAGAAGATTCAGATTACAAAGGAATTCTGCGTTTTCAGGGTTCTGTTAAAACACGTTCTTAGCGAAGGGAAGCTGGGCTCACAGGGGAAGACAAATCAAAGGAAGTAACAGAACGAGGTTTGTGATTTCACAGAAAGACACGGCATCTAAGGTAACTCGAGAAAAGTGACGGATCTAGGGTGTCATGAAACAAGGCAATATTCTCCTCCCTTTCGGCCCAAAAGAACATCTACAACAGAAAATGGGAAAAGAGAAGGAAATAGCTTCCAAAACGTAGATCTCAAACCAGAATCTGAAGTAATTCTAGTCGGGGAATCAGCACAAACTGTGTGTGAAACAAGGTGAGAGGGGCCTCCTGTCTTACTAAAAGGAAGTCCGAAACTTCTAAAGAGGGAAGCAAACATTTTCAAGGACTCTATTCTAGAGGTATTTGGGGGGCGGGGGTGGGGTGGGGGAAGAGAAGCTCCATTTAAAGTTTAGATATTAAAGAAATCACATTGCGCTTTTAAGAAATGTTTTCAACAGGGCTTGGCAATCTGGGCAGAACGGGGCGTTTTCAGGGGACAAATTTCGGTGTGGACGTGAGAACTTACGCTAAGCTACGAATGGACAGAGGAGGCAAAAGGGGACCTCAAACCCAAACAGAAGCAGGCCGGCTGAACTTTACCTGCTGTGGATGAATTACGGGCGACGACAACGAAGCATGGGTGAGTAAATGAGACTTTTTTCCTAGTTGAAAACGTGACTGCATACTTAAAATATATACACTTGTGTCACGTATAATGGAATAAAGCGATAGCATCTAATATAAAGGACCCGAGAAGAAAAGGATACTGTGACGTGACACATTAAAAACCAAATGTCTAGAACATTAGCCCTCATAGCGAGACGTGGCAAATAACAGAGTCGGCATAAAGCTGTTCCTGAGTCCACAGTGATGGCTGCGGTTTCTCGATACCCCAGCAATTCAAAAGAAGCAGAAACATTATCATTTAAATGAAAAGGTCTGCTGTGTAATAACAGAAGTTCTGGTGAATTCTGGATTTGTAGTATTCTCTTCCCAAAAGATGTCTATTACCAGAGGGAAGTCCTGAACTGTTAACCATCAGAGTGCCTCTTTACTACCGTCAGCTAAAGATTCCCCTGTCACTGGGCTCTTCTGCTGAGGATATGAACAAGTCCATCTAAGAAAATAGATGTTCCTACTTCTTTAATTCTCGCCTTGATGTGTACACTTTACATCTACTTTGGACACAGAATGAAAAATTATGCTTTTGTGCAAGGGTAATGCACAAAATGACTAGTAGCATATCTTCGCAGATGAGTAATTTTTAAGAAGGAACGCATGAAATATGATTTTTAATTAAAGGAAAGCAGAGACTGCAATGAATTCATAAGGCATAGCACCGCTTTAAGCTTTCTCCCTCACTCCTCTGTGTCTTTCATGGATACTGACTAATTTATACACACAAGGATGTTATAAAATAAGAGATAATATTATTCCCATCTCAGGAATAGAGAAAACTAAGAAAATGGGAAAGATCATGACCTTGGAAAAGGTCGTGGAGACTGCAGTACAATGAAACCAGAAGCTTGGACTCTCGCTGCTTATGTAGAGCTCATTCTACATTCCAACACTAACATCTCCTATGGGATGGAAGTCGGGCAGAACTTGGCCCTCAGGCAACAACCTTAGCAGCTGGCCGGGGCGGTACACGGCGTTTCCCACATCCTTCTAGGCACCTGCCAGGCTCACCCGCCTCCCACAGCTCTCTGCGCGTGTCAGCTGTAGGGAAGGGTTAAGGTGGTTAATAACCGACTTCTAGATGGGCTCCATTATCCCAAACCTTCAATAGGGTTACTCACTTTTTTTGATCTCTTCTAGCTTCTCAGTGTATTTAGTCATGCTGTTACCTAAAAAGAGAATAAGATAGGCTTTTTAACGGAAGAAAATGAGTAACTCTGTATAAACAGAATGGAGTACAAGTGTTCCCTGAGCCTCCCTATCCTGCTCTTACAGAACTACAGTAGGCAAATGGGCCACACATACTTAAGAGTCTTTTGGATTATACAGCATCATTAAGTGATGAGGAATCAAGGAAAAACTTTTGGCCAAATAAACACGAGGCAGTACGGATGATCACTTTATATTTACAATTTTTTTATTTTTTTTATTTAAAAAAATTTTAAACACTTATTTTTATTATTATTTCTAATGTTTATATATTTTTGAGAGAGAGAGAGAGAGAGAGAGAGAGAGAGAGACAAAGCACAAGTGAGGGAGGGGCAGAGAGAGGGAGACACAGAATCCGAAGCAGGCTCCAGGCTCTGAGCTGTCAGCACAGAGCCCGCCGTGGGGCTCGAACTCACCAACCTTGAGATCATGACCTGAGCTGAAGTCAGATGCCTAACCGACTGAGCCACCCAGGCGCCCTGTAATTTTTTTTTTTTCAAGTCAAGGCTTTCCTCCTTTTTTTTTTTTTTTAAATTCCCCCATAACCTTTTCGTGGGGAAGATGTGCGGAAGAGAAGGAAAGAAGCAATGATCTCTGAATGTCTAAAATGTGCCGCTGTGGCTACCCAAGCAATCCCTTGCGCTGCCCTTAGTCTTTGTGGTTTCCCTCTCTTTCCTGAACTTGGTCTTCAACTATTCATGCTGACGTTGCAGCCTGAACTAGACCACACCGTCTGTGCGGTAGTATTCATCACGGATTTGCTCTGCTGAGAAGTAAGAGCGGATTCCCACCACTGCAGACAGCACCCAGCCCTCGTGTTCTACAGCCTGCTTCTACAATACCAGGCTCTCGCCAAGGTGGTTTGGAGAGTCTCCACGCCCCAAAACTGGGCCAGGATCGTTTTGGTTTCCGAAAGAACGGAGGTCTAGTTCCCAAGCGAGGGGCTATTCTTTTTTTACTGGGCATGCTTCAGTTTGATTCAGTTCAGCACAGCAAGCTCTGCCTGGCATTTGAAAGGTACAGCAAAAAGGGAAAACGTGTCAAGAAGAATTTCTCGTTTCTAAAACCGCGCTCCTAACTTTCAAGCCTCGAGAGGGGCTCGTCAGATTCAGTCCCAACTTCAGATACAAGAAACGCTTCCAGTTAATGGCGCGGACTGATGTTGTTAAGGACCATCCTGAACTTTTCTGCATGGCTGAGGTCAGAAGTAGAGAAAGAAAATTCTTGCTCTGAAACCCAAAATACCTTTTCTTTTTTTTTTAATTTTTTTTTTCAACGTTTATTTATTTTTGGGACAGAGAGAGACAGAGCATGAACGGGGGAGGGGCAGAGAGAGAGAGGGAGACACAGAATCCGAAACGGGCTCCGGGCTCCGAGCCGTCAGCCCAGAGCCCGACGCGGGGCTCGAACTCGCGGACCGCGAGATCGTGACCCGGCTGAAGTCAGACAATTAACCGACGGCGCCACCCAGGCGCCCCCCGAAATACCTTTTCAAAAAACAACTTACATCACGTTAGTATTAAATCTTCACTTATGAATCCATCCGGGAATAAAATTCTGCTGGGTTAAAAAAAAATTTTTTTTTTTCCCGTCTGAACACACAACTCTCCGAATCAGGACAGAACAGCAGGACTCAGTGTAGTCCTGGAGTCAGGCTGTTGCGGCCTTCCGAAAGCTCAGAGAGACAGGACGGTAGTCAGGGCCGCGGGAAGGCCTGAGCCTTCTCAAGAGAGGCACTAAAAACGCCTAAGAGGTCCAAATAGCACCACAAACCAAGATTGGCATCAAATATGATCTTTTCTAGGTTCTTCAGACTGGAATGGATCTGAGATGGGACCAGATCTCGGGAGGGAACCAGGAATTCCTCCGGAACCTACTTCCCTCTCCCCCGCAATTTTGACCTGAGGCGGGAACCCCCCCCCCGTCAGCAGGGTAAGGGAAGCGAGCTCTTCAGCGACCCGCCATCTTACTCGTCAGCTATTGTACATCATAGCTTTTGGTTCCGCGCTCCCGAGATCCTACATTTGCGTGTTTTTGGCGTGGCAGTTGGTTTCTTTTGGCTGGGGCAGCTTCAGGCAGTCTCCTCACAGGAGGCTGAGGTGCAGGAGAGATGACTGATTTGCTCAGTGACACAGCAAATTAGAAGCTAAGCCAGGATTAATATTCCCCACCTCCTTGTTTGCAACACGGCTCACAAGAACAACACCGCTTCTCCAGTTGCGTTGGTTCAAAAACACGGTTTCACGGTGAGGTCAATACGGAGGGAGTGTTACTTCCCGAACAGGGGCAGGTGGGAACCATTTTATGCTCTGAATTCCCCAAGGCATACCACGCATGGAAAACAACAGCCAGCCTTATTATATGGTCTTTATTATCAAAACGTTGCATTTCCAATCTACAGTGGTGGCTACTAACAAGAGTGTCGCAAGTCCACTTCTCCATCAATTATCAACATTTTCGGACTCTTCCCTCCCCCCCCCCCCCCCCCCCTTCATCTTTGGAGGAACAGAGCCTCACAACAACCCAGTGAGGTAAGGCTGTCACTCCTCCTGTTTGTTTTTCCCACCGAAGGAGAAGGCAGGGAAAAGTCTTTTGCAGAGGTGTACAAATACTTGGCACAATTAAGAACAGATCTGAGAGGGCTACCGAGAAGACGGTCTTTTCATGACAGACATTCATTCTGTCCAAGTAGAGGGGGAAAAAAGAAAATGGAGGATGTCTGCATTGTTTCAGCTGGAGGAAGACCCGGGGATGGCCGACTCATCGAGGCAAAAGGAAAAAAAAAGAAAATCCTTCAAAACGATGGTAGAAAGTACGAGATCTAGTATTTTACCCTCCTTCATACGCTGCTTGTATCTTAACTACACAGCTTATCTTACTGGATCTAATTGCATCTGAAAGCAGGTTTCTGACTACCTCTTAAAAAGGCCAGAAGTGAGTCAATTCCATAATTGGCTTATTTATAAATGCAGCTTTGTTTTATAGGAGTCTAAAAGACTATCGGCAAACCAGTTCTTTTTTAACTGAAATTACACGTTGCTGCCAGATAAATTTTCCTAGACAAGACTTTGATTAAAAAAAACAAACAAAAAAAAATGTCAGCGGCTCCCCGCTGCTTCGTGACTGAAGTTTAAACTCCTTGCTCCAGAGCTGAAGGCGCCGACGTCTCACCTGCCTCTTCAATCTTGCCTTAATTACTAAACTTGACAAAGTCTGCGTTGGTCTTCTGTTCTCTAACAGGTCATCTTGTCCATGTAATCATAATAGCTCACCCAGCTGGAAGTGACCTTTCCCTTCTCTGAACTTCTCCAGCACTCAGCTCCCCACTCACAAGGCATTTATCATCGTGCCGCCTTATTTGTGTGCAAGCCTTATCTACCTTCTGATACGGAGAGCCAAAGGCTGCACGCGCGCACACACACACACACACACACACACACACACACACACACACACACAC